CTTCTTATTAAAATCTATAATTTCAAGTGAAGAGAGCACAATGGCCTCAGGGAAACGGCTGGCCACTTGAGTTGGTCTGCCAGAATAATGATTCTCATCTAAGAAGGACCCTTTCAATCTTAACTATATAGGCTTATAGATCACGCGATCAGCACTATATAATTGATTAAGGAGAAATCATTCGATATTCACTAGCACTTCCGGGTACACACACTGTAAAATGACTAACTTTCTAGATACCAATCAACCCGGACGAAATCAGTTCAAACGAAACTGCTGTAGCTAGTAAAAAGGCCTTGTTCTCCGTCTACGGATAGCAGACTGAAGGAACGAGCATAGACATTGTGTTCTGACAGATGTACACTCAACACGTATTGCTTGTTTGTCTGTGTTGACTAGAATTTTTTGCAGCAAGGATACTTGATATTGGGTTCTGTATTTCTCAGTAAGATAATGAGTCGTACGCTAAGACAGAGATCTAGATAACTCCACGTGGTTTGTGAAGACCTTGTGAGGTCTGTGTTTTCACAACATCAGATTATGAACAAAAACAAAAAACGCAGAAAACCAACTCGTGTAAATACAATAACAATGCGACGCGCGCACGTTAGTCGATCAGATATCTTTCCTTTGAATAACATCGCAGAGTTCGCTGTTGGACTTTTAAACAGGGGTAGGATCTGTTAAAACAAACTTTCCCGCGCCTTTTTGTTTAGTGCCCGATAACATCCACGGTTGCATGCGTCGCACTGATATTATCGTTTGAAAAAGCATTCAAGGAGAATTCTCCCCCAGTGTCTCTTTTAGCCCAAGTGAAGTTTCAAGGTTTGGCGGTACTTTTGTATTTAAATTCTTTTATCATCAGCTTTATTATTTTTTTCAGGAAATTGAATTTGAAGAAGTCTAGCTCTTAGCTCCTTAATTGTGACATTTCTATGCTTAAACCTTTCAAATTTTATCGAAATCCTGAAACAGTCTGTCAGCTTAGTGATCAAATTCAGGGTACGGCTAATTCGCAGATCGAATTGGAAGTTAGCGTGTTAGCTTACAGATTGAGAACAACCTTAGAACCAAGGGATGAGAGATCTAACAAAAAAAACTTTACTCGAATCTTAAACCCAAGAGGTCAGAGGCGTGTGCACTACCGCTATGCTAACCTTGATTCCCCAAAGGCTTTTTAATCCGAACGATCAAGGCCGGGGAGTTGAGGATCGCGAGGAACTCTGTACGCCGTAAAGAAGGTGTACCAAGATGTACATACATAATCTCACTAAGCTGTTTAACGGCGAAATGGGATGAAGAAAATGAAATCCGCCAATGGTCTCCTCCGTCCGAAATTTTTGACATTTTTTTCCATTGCACGTTACGTCATCGCGGCCATGTTGGTGCCATGTAATCAAAACATTTCTTATTAGCACTCCACTGTGAACCGCACCAAGATGGCCGCCATTTTTTCTCTTTTGAATCTCTTGGAAATGCTCGCAGCCCATCAATTCACAATTTTTACAGCGAGGGATACAAGTGGAATTAATATAATGCGCATGTTCAGAAAACTCCGAACACTTGATCAAGAACCGGCGCTCTTCAAGCCTTCTGCCTATGAATTGTTTACTGAGAAGTACAAAAAACAATGGTGTACAAATTAGTCGTCAGATGCAAATTTAACAGTACAAGAATACATGTTTATGTAATGTTCTTGATATTCGTTATTTTTCTACGTTCTCGCGTACCAAGAGCCCGCGTTCCTGACAACAAACAATAGCGGTCACCAAATGAAATGTGGTCTGGCTTTGGGAATGCGAATGTCTCGTTTTGGATTGAACAAAAATGCAAACTACATGTCCTAGAGTCACAGCTGTGCCTGGTATCTTTCTGCTCAGCGGTATAGTCCGAGATCCCGAGGGATTCTCGTATATAATAATCAATCCCTCAAGACAGCTGTACAGCCATTCTTAATAGTTTATAAGTCTTGGAGTTCAATTCCATTCATGCACAGCAGGCAGCTCAGGCAAGCAGCTGCTCCAAGACCAAGATAGTGTAATTTAGAGTGTCTATGTTGATGTTATTTCGTTTTCTAACGCGGCTGTCACATGAAAGATCTTCTTTTGTTTATTTGAAGGGCTTGAAATAGCTTTATCTAAGCTGATGTTAATAATCTTGAACGCGCAAAGAGAAAGCGCGTCAAAACAAAGCCAAGGTGAAAAGAAATTTTTAATATATTAAAAATTATTATTATCAAGTTGAATAAACCTGTCACCGGCGTTCGCTCCAAAAAAGTAAGATATTTATATGCAGAATTTTTTTTTTTTTTTTACTTCCAACCGAAATAAAGTTGATTAGTAGCTCCCGCAGGTTTGTTCGCTTCGATTATTTGTGTGTTGTTCTTCAACACTCGAAGATAAAATCTCTGCGCGCCCACTCAGTAAACTTCCCTTCATTCACGATAAGCAGAATATATCCTACACCGTTACTCAACGGTTCATATAACAAAAACTTCGGCTTTCTTGTCGAAAAAATCTCTTCCAAAAAAGTTTCAATGTTTAGAAAAATTATGATAATTGTATCGGATTCAAGCGGAACTTCGTTTGACCTTGGTAGACATGAATGAATGAATTGACGGCTCGCAATGGTTCTTAATTAAAATTTTTTGATGGTTTTGTGAGACAGGTACAGAGTAGGCTTTCCAATGACTGACTTTGCTGTCAAAATATGCTTCATAGCCGTTATGTATGAAGAATACGGCCCTTTTAATGAGACAATAGAACAATATGACAAAGCTTAGGTATGAAAAGATGAGATAGCATAGGAAAGGATGGTATACGAGAGAATAGGATAAGAATAGATAAGATGGGTTGGGATATGATTAGATAGAATAGAATGGAATGGAATAGAATGGAATAGATTGGAATGGAATGGAATGGAATGGAATGGAATTGAATCGGAATTGAGTTCAAGTATAATAAAGATTCCTGCTTATAATGTTCAACCTAGCTTAAATAAGCAGCGTCTTTAACAGCGACCACTTACAAAAGGGGTTCAGAATATCTATATATATATGTCATTGATCGATTCAAAACGATAAACGTTCCAAAGAGACAAGCTTAGTATCTCAGCAATGTTTTATTGCTGTTATTTGATCTCTTATTAGTCCAATTACCACAAATTTGCAGACAAAAACCAGAGAACAATGAATGGCAACTTGCCTMTGGGCAAAAACTGAATTCTTTGCCAATAACGTATAAAAACGCAAGTTGTTTTAACAGCCTGCCATGAGAACGTTTCTACTAACTAAAACAAATAATATTCCAATAACAAGAAAGTTCTTTTCAATAAAGGTAAAACAAATYGATGAAAAAGATCCAATTTTGTATATTGAATAAATTTTTTTGCTTACTTTTAATTGTTGAATGATACAATTCTTAGACAGAATCTCATTCTCCATGACGACTGTCTAATTTAGATATACTAACACTTATAAACTGTCATCTCTCGATCTTTTGTCACGAAAACACCAGCAAAAGCTACCTTGACTAGCCAAATAAAGTTCGAACTCACACACCCAAACATCTGGTTATAAAACAAGTTTGGAACAAAAGTGATGTTACTTTTTATGACGATTTCATGCGAAAAGTTTACAAAATTTTAACCCGCAAAAGAACTTGTGAACGTATATATAATCTCAGGGTGTGAGTAGAGGTAGTAGTGGTATTTTAAAAGTATTAGTTTCAATATCAATTATTTGCTGTGTTCGTTGGAAAGTATCAAGAATAGCTAGGTGATTCAACGACACGTGCTAACGTCACGACCCATAAATATTTTAGAAGGAAATGAATAATTCTTTGGGATGAAAACGTTTCTTAGTGTCTATACATAAAGATGAATTGTTGTCGCGCATCAAATATGCCACCCGTAAGATATGAATATAAATTGTAGATTCTGCCGCTGGATGAATGGATGGATGGATGGATTGATAGATGAATGAATGAATGAATAGATGGACGGACGATATTCCTGACTGGTTGCTTGAGAACGCCATGTTCCCCAGAACAAAACTATGGAATGGTCTCTAAAGAAAAGGGGACGATATAAAAATGAAAAACTTAACAACGTTCCTTTTTACATCAAAAGTAGCTCGATTTTCGTTATCGACGAATTAAAAAGTATAAACAGACCGACGGGGCACAAAACTGAAAAACGCAAATTCTGTAAAAATGAGAAGCCAGTTTTAAGCCCCGTTTACACTGGCGATTTTTGCGGCGATTTTTGTGTCAATTTTCGGAAATATTAAATCTTTTGTCTCATCCTTCAAAAGAGACATTCGTCTAGGAAAATCTTGGTATCCTGGAAAAAAAAACTTTACAAGTAAATTTTTTACCATTATTTATTATGGACAATATCGGGGAAAAAACGCAGCAAAAATCGCTAGTGTAAACGGGGCTTTATATTTAAAGAGGAAAATAAGCAATTTTATGAATTGTTATCGAAAACATTTCATAGCAATGTAGGAYAATATTCATTATAAAGCTGCTGTTCTGGTATCGTGGCCCGTCAAGTTCCTTAAATTTGGTTGCGCATGCAACCTTGAGAAAAAAGTCCACATTTTTTTTTTTCCAAATATTTTTACTAAAACAGGTTGCCTACCGAATATTTTTTTAACGAAATTATAAATCTATTAAAAATAATTGTAAAATTCTGCTAGCAGGATATTTGACATTAGCCGTTTCACAGACAGGCAGCAGAGGGCGTTAATGGCCAAAAGAAATACGATCTTTATTAATTTCGGGGCTTGATTAAGGCGGGTCCTTTAGCAAAATGCCTGCTAATATGCTGAGAAATATCCAGAAACGGCTTTGTTTGACATAAGCGTAAAATATTTAGAAACATTGCCGTCTTTTTTGTTTGTTTGTGTGTGTGTGTGTGTGTTTTTTTGTTGTTGCATAAATTATTCTTTAATTATCCCATGGTAACATAGCAATGAGATACCAGAAAACGTACACACACTTTTTTAAGATTTCGTTTACTGTTAAGTGTTTCCATGTTTGTCTCTGTATTTAACATAGCGCTTTCTTACTACATCTTTTTTATCATTTTTTGTTTCTCTTTTACTTAAGGTTATCAAACAACTTCTAAATTTCAATTCGAATCCAGTGGAGTAAGAGCTACTCTAAGGAACCACTGTGATTAGCAGTTTTACTTTACATGTATTTAAAATTCGTCTAGTTACGAAACCCCAAAGGAAGTAGTGTCCAGATTCAATTTCCAATATTTCTCCCTTTTAGTCATCCTACTTCCCATTCCCAGTGTTTTAAATTCTGGTATTACATGTATACATCAATTTCAATTTTTTCACAAAGGAAATTCCTATTAACATTTTAGCTTTTTGCAACCCTTTCGAGTAAGGAGCCCTTACTTAGGCGTAATATTTTCCTATTTCAATCCATGTCATTCCCTTAAGTGAATCTCTTTCTTTTTTAGTGTACCCAATCACTTTATATACAATAATGATATACACATAAATCCATAACCAAGGCATTATTGAGAAAACATTGTAAAACCATGAACAATTAATGAGGGTTCAAACCAATCCAATTTCAGAAATCAGGTAACACGAATATCATGTAAAAACCCTATATAAACCGTCTTACAATGAAAATGCTCATTAGATACAACCACTAGTTCTGATACAGCACTGATGGTTGTATCTAATAGAATATAAACTGAAAATATCCCAAAGGATTTATGAATTATTAGTGAATTTCACAAGTCGTTTACAACATTCCCGTCTATGTTGTGAACATTACTTACAAATGTTACTGTCTATTTAATAGCATTTTATTATATTATATATTCAAAATGTGCATCCCTAAGTGCCATACTTCATAGGTTAGGCTATATGACTGTTTGTTCCTTATTCTTCTTTAAATTAAAGAATTGATCGTGTCTTGAAAATGCTGTACTGCCAAGAAGTGACGAATGTTGTCCCATCTGAGATTTGCTTGACTACAATCAAAACAAAAGAAATCAGTTGGGAACTTTTCTTCCACATTTAGATTTTCTTTGTCTGAATGGCTGAATTTGCATTCGATATGGACCTGCAGTGCCGTGACCGTGACGGTGCTGTGTCAGAGCATTTTGATTGGCTGAGTAATGCACTTGCGTGCTTTTATTGGACTAAGGGATGTCCTCAAATCCGTGCAGTGACTTGACAGTCGTGCAAAATCTGGTCTTCCCAAAAGTATGCTACACATAATACAAGTTAACTTCAACAATACCTTAGGTCAACCTGCCTAATCTAGCAGCCATGTGGCAGTAGCATTCTGACCAATACCGTAACAGTTTAAGTTTATTCACACTTTGTATAATCTAAATTTTAAATAATTACAAAGGCTAACAGCATACCGTTACCGTACCACAATGAACCTACTGCTTGTTAAGACATTTTCTCTCACCTTTTTTGGTTCGCTGAGTCTAGTACCACTTGACAGGCCATATAAAGAACTCTGATGCGAACTCAGAGGAAGCAGAGTAAACCGTGGAGGGTTGGGCGCTAGAGGCATGATATTGTGTTGATCTTGCGAGCCAGACGGTCGTGACGTCACTCCAAAGGAATGATTGGAATGTTTGTCTAGACTCACTAATACACCAAATAGAACCTGTGAAAGGATGTGATCAACCAATCAGAGAAGAGGGCAAAATATTCTTCCCAAATTCGATATTCTATTTTATTGCATACGAGTACCATGATGCAATGCGCACAGAGGAATAGCAATCTATGACGTCACTATTACATGAAACTCACCCCACATCGTTGAAGCTGTCTGTTTAAATTCGCTGCCAGATAAGGAGAAAATACATCTAGATCAAAAGGATCCACAACTCCTTCTAGTGAATCAATAACAGCTTCACGGCGAACAGAGAAGCTTTCAGTCGATTCCTACCAAGAAAACAAAGCAAACACTTCAATGCATACGTCATCAAGGTAACCAAGGTAATCGACATCACGTGACTCACCTGGATAGGCTCATCGGATCTTCCCGCGAAAATTGCAGAGATAAATTTAAAGTCGAACAGGCACTGAAGAGATCGGTTTTGAGGCAAACTGGTTTCACTCTCCTCCACGAGCTTTTCGTAAAGGTGCAAAATGTTATCGGATAATGTGTCGACTAGCTCTTGTAATATTTTTCTGAATGAAAAGATTCGGAAAACAAATGATAAAATTCGTAGACACGTCATTACTTGTCAAATGCGCATGCTTCCATTTGTTTCTTTACTATTACAGTTAAGTGTTTTTTTATGTTAGGGAGGGGTGGGTGGGTAAGTCGTTACCTGTCTAGTGCGTGTGCTCCGATTCGATTAAGTTCCTGACAAAGACTGAAGAGTAAAGACGTGACGAAAGACGATACCTGAAATACACGGACAGATGTTCGTGAGGTTATCAAGCACACATACACAAAGCGCTAGCCATGTTTCTGAGCACGTTTTCTTATGTTATGGCTTTCGTCCACGTTTTTAACATTCCGAGTCAAATAATTATTCAATCGATGGAACGGATGCTAAAAAAGACACAACTTCAAGTGTGGGATCTCTAAGATACCTGCATAGGGACACGAATAGTTGATTGTACTTTCTCGCCGGTTTCTGATTCCTCTTGGATTTTCAGTTCTTCCCAGCTCTAGATGAAAAAATAAATACAAAAGGACATTTATGAAATTTTTCGAACCTATTTCGTGGAAAGAAGCAAGCGGCATCTCCTGAAATAGAAAGACGCGAGGGATTCGACACTTAGATTCGGTCTTACCGTCATTGAAAACAGCGCAGCCTCTGTGCCACCTTTAAGCAAGGAGTCTTCATATGATTTTACGAAAATATCGCACACCCAGTCTTTCCATAGCCTGGAGAAACAATTAAATAATTCCTATTAGGCATTAATATGGGGTGTCCCAAAGCGGTTATGGGACCATTTATTCAAGTAACAATAAATACGTTTTCTTCCCAGATCTTTGCAGGTTATTTTCTGTGCCACAGTCAAACAATTGAGAACTCCAGGCTGTGGTGTTCCACATGTTCTAATATTGGGGCCTTTTTATATAAGATCATCCTGGTATATAAACATACCTGAACGCGGAGTAATATCTGTTTTTAATTAGTGCTGCCAACTCCTTTAACTTGGTATCGTTTGTCTGTTCAGTCTATCAAACAGAGCAATAATAAATCAGATAACATAGCAGTCGAAGAATTCACTAGTTCTCAATAACACGCGCAGAATCCTACAGCTCTCGCGTGCTCAAAAATAGGGTTTGATGGACGTCAAACAAGTCCTTCCCAGTACATTCCATAGCTAGCAACGTGCCCTTGGATAAACTCTGTTATGTGTAGTACAGCWGTAGGAACTGGGCAGCGGCTGCCTGTGCAGGGCATGCGCATTAAAGCAGCATAATCACGAGATACCTTTCTTTTTGAGAGACTGGATTGTCTTGATAATCTAAGTAAAAAATCCAAACACGACATGTCACGGCAGAGCCAAGTACGTAACTCTTAGAGCAGTTTTTCGTATGACTGTGAAAAGCTCGCGGTATGAACAGGGTCGTGATATGGCAAGTCATACGCGAGACCAATCATATTGCTCGAGAAGTTACTTTCCATCCAATGAAATACCCGGAACACGGCATGAACACGGCGTGGACACGGTCACGCCAAGGTCACAGCACTGCCAGACCAAATTGTGCGAAAAAAATTAGCCAATTATAATTCTAGAAAACATCACGGTCACAGCACAGCACGCTTACGGCTCTGAGCTTTTCACAGTCATACCAAAACTGCTCTACTTTTCTTCCACAGCGTACTACTAACCAACAATGCAACGCTTCCTCCTAGTTTGAATACATTACCTCACGACTTCACACCCTAATACATATGGGATAATGGGATGATCAATAGGATTTACCTGGGTGTTGACTGACGTGCATTGGGTTTTTCTTCCGGTTCAGCTCCTCGCATGACTATCTTTAGTTGTGGGCACTGTTCGACCATACAATGACAAAGACGACCAACAAAGAGCACCCTGAAATGAGATAACAAATGAGTTTCCTCTGTAGAAGATCTGGCAAAAATGAGATTGGGTTGAGTGAGGTGTGGATATGGTGGCCATCTTGCCAGGGGGCGAAACAAAGATGAAGGAAAATATATAGTTTCGTGTGTTCGTCTTTCGTTTATGAGTAAAGGTGATCGATGTGTCGTCTTAATCGTCTTTTTGTGATATTCTCTTGTGGTGAGCTGTTAATATCAATGGACGTCAATACTGTGACGAAGCTTTATTTTTCCCCTGGGCGACCCATAATGCTTTGCGATCCAAGATGGCCGTCGTATTGTCGAATTAGTCCATTGCTCACAATGCCCACGACATTCAAAGGTGGAAGGAAGCTTACCTGTCAATGCTTGTTGTATCGTAGATAGAAGGACAAGATTCAAGCTTCTTTTTGTGATCAGTCAGAGATTTGTCTACATTATTTAGCAGTCTGTAACAGAAAAAGAATAACACAGTGATGGTGATACCTGATGATAGATGGTGATGTTACACGAAGGTGGTGATGGTGGTGATGATGAAAATGCGATGGTGATGGTGATGATGAAAATGCGATGGTGATGATGATTGATGATGGTGGTGATGGTGATGATGACTGATGGTGGTGATGATGATGACTGATGATGGTGGTGATGATGATGATGACGATGTGGTGGTGTCGTCATGGATGGTGGTGGTGATAATGACGATAATGTAATGGTGATAGTGATGATAAAAATGTAATGATGATGGTGGTTATGATGATGATAATTTGATGATGTGATGATGTTATAGTGGTGGTTATGGAGATGACGATGATGATAGTGGTGGTGTGGCCATGGGTGGTGATGATGGTGAAGATAGATAAGGTAATGTTAAACGTACCCACCTATTAAAAGCATCAAAACAAGTATCCTGTAAAAAGGTCTGTATCTCCTTGGCATCCGAGAATCGATCAAACGGTCCCTTCTCATCAATCTTGTCTGTCTGTCCGACTATAATCCCCAGTTCCTCAGCTCGTCCACTGATGGATACGCGAGACTTCTCAGACGACTGAGTGTCTTTGATCTTAGATATGAAATGTTGGGCATCATCTGATGTGGCTTGGAGCTTCTCATTTATGCAGACACAAAGTCTAACAAATAAATGAACAAAAAGAACTGATGGTTTGCGAGAGAATCCAAGACTTGACAGCCAGCAGCAGCAACAACATCCATGCAAAAATATCTAATCTTTTTTAGATACCATTTTATACGCACAGAACATAGAGCATAAAGAAATCTGTACATTGGAATGAATACAATCGGCGAAAAAATACCTTGAGACCCGGACAACCCAGGAAGCCTTATTTCCATAGAAAGGAGCTTTTCTACTCCATCCCCCCTCTCCCTAGCAATTGATAACTGGGAGGGAGTTTATAGTTTATGCTAATAAATTTTAGAGCAAAGTTTTACAAATATTTCCATGAAATGAGAAATTAAGCATAGGGGCCTCGCTATTTTATTCACAGATTGTAGCCTTTGTACAACTGGCACATTTACTCTTGCATTGACAACGGCTTTCAAAAATTCACTCCGTATTCTTTCTTTGCTCAGTACTATTTGCGCTTTACTCAACGATCAGATCAAGATAACATTGATTAAGATAACTGATAAAACTGACCTTTGAACTGCTGGGGTACACCCACGAGCTTTCAACGCCAGCCCATCACCGTCCAAAGACTGCTTCTTAGTATCCCCTGATTGGTTGCCCCATAACGACGCAAGAGGTACGTCATTGACGCTTTCGTGCCAAACATATCGAGATATGTCTCGTTCCCATAATGCATTGGTGTCTTGAGCAATGTCGACTGACAGGTCATCTTGTGATTGGATGATCATGTTTTGACAGGACACAACAGTAGCATCTAATAGTCCACTCAGTATGGCCTAAAGAATTTCAAGGAAATTATTGATAAACCTTTATACCAGGAAATATTTTATGTTTTCAACAAGGCTTTTGGCTGTTGGTGATGTGCATGAAAAGGCAAAAAGACAAAAAAGGCGTGAAGAGGAGAGTAAACATGACCTCTTGTTAATGTTCAAGGAGGGGAGGGGAACAGAACTAGAAATGGGACACACAAAAAAAACAGATAAAACCAACCTTTGCACGGTTAACAAATAACGGTCTCATAAACTTGTCCCACAGCGATAACTCATGGTTGATAACTTTGGTGCACAGTTGATTCCATTCTAACTCTACTACTTCATTATCCTGAGTAAACTGAGCATTTGAATCACACTGCAAAATATAAGGGGGAAAATCCAGGTTAAATACGAAATGAAGGGATCCTCACAGGGTTAACTCTCTTTTAAGAACCCATATGGCTTTTTAATAGTGGGAGACAAATTCAGTATATGTATATGTACTAGACTCCAATTTGGTCAACAGTCACTCACACACACTACCACTGCATTAAATATTCAAGGCATAAAACTTTCAATTTACATGTTGATTTTTATGGAGGGAGGAAACCAGAGAACCGAGAGAAAATCTCTCGTGGCACAGGAGAGAACAACACATCAAGCAAACTCAATTCACATAAGCAAACATTTCCTGTAAGCAAACACTCATGCCTCACTCAAAGGTGGTCCCTTACGAGAGAGTCAACTGTATAACATGCAGAATCGTTACCTCTTTGAGGAGCTCCCAGATGGCATCTCTCATGGATGCAAGTCCCTTCAAGGTGCCTACGTAGGTGAGAAGTTTGCCAACACCACTTGAGATGTCTTTCAAACACCTATGGGAGAATTATTTTAATAATATAACCTAATTAATGATGATGAAATTATGTTGATGATGATTACTGATACATTTTGATTATGATGGTGATGATTTTGATCTCATGGTGAAAGAAATAAATTTGCCAGACACTTATGCAAGTTTGTAATGATGATGTATTATGATGATGACGATGTATATCAATCATGAGGATGAGGATGATGGTGATAAGGATGATGATGGTGATGATGATGATGAGGATGGTGCTGAGGATGATGATGATGATTGGTAAGTGGTTGATGGTTGATTGTGATGATGTCATAGCAGAGAAAATATATTTGCCCAACACTGAGAAGTTTGTGGTGACATCAATGATGACAGACGATGTTGTTTACAATAATGGTGATCATGATGACAATCATCATGATGATTACAGGAATACTTTTCATAGCTTTATTGTACTACTACGTACATTCCAATCCATTCCTCACAGTTTCCTTGAATATTGGGCAATGGAATAGTAGCTGGAAATGCTCTTATGTGTGGCCTGTATTCTAAACAGAAAATCAAAAATGCAGCATTACACTTAGAACCATGAAGGGTTAAGGGTTAATCTGATTATAACTACTGCAGAGTGAAATGATGCCATGATTACTTACCTAGAACAGTCTTTGGAAGGTACCGTGCACTTGTTACCAAGTCAAAGTCTGGACCAAATAAAGCCTCTAGCACTAAAACAACACCAAATTATAGATGTTTAACTACATGTCTACATGTACCTATGGAGTTATTCTGATTACTAGATAATAGCTTTTCTTTACCTTCTTCATCAATGTTTGGATCTGATTTGTCCCGTTTCGTAACACGATTCAGAGTTTGAAACAACATTGCTGGATTGTCTGAAATGTTTAAAGTAAAATTTTGTTGTTTTTTCTTCTATGAATTATTTCATGAATAATCCATCTCACAGTTCCTTTCAGTGACCACCAATAACAGTTCCAAGCCAAGGTTGGAGTTGCCGTGCATGATAAAAAGTAAAGTTTTGCTATGCACAGCAACTATAGCCTTAGCTAGTTGGAACTATTATTTGTGGTCACTGAACAGAACTGTAAAAAGGAGTATTGCAATAAAAGATTCCAACACCATCCATTTTCATTTTAATCAGCACAAAATGTCCATTCATTATTTTTGAGGAGGGAGGAAAACCGGAGAACCTGGAGAAAAACCTTCAAAGCACGGGAAAGAACATATACGACATCCAGATCAGCAGGACTCGAACTCTGGCCGCAGTGTTGAGAGGTGGCCCATTGACAGCACATGCCACCTGTGCTTCCCCTACCGGTGCTTCCGCCACCCTTGATTCCTCCATCCATTTTCCCCCATGGTCCCAAAGGATGTTTCGGGTTTTCTTTTATAATAATTAAAAATACCTTTAACATCATGGATTTCCTCTGTATTTTCCACATCACATATAAAAATACTGTGTATTTGATACAAGCTTGTCCTCATTACTCTTATTAGTTCACAAACTTGAGACTTGATGCTCGTAGCTAGGAAGAAAGAAACAGAATGTGAACGAAGTTGTTTATCATTAAAAGAGTAAAGGGTAGCATAGCAGTAAGGCACTAGCCGACCAACTCTGGGGTCTTTGGTTTGATTCCTGAAATCAACACTACATGTAAGTAAATTCATAAAAATGCATAGTAACATGACATCAACAATATATTTGTTGAAGGCTTTGTTAAGACTCTCATCAGGCTTGCATGACAGGAGATCAACAGCCATTTCATTTTACATTTGATACAAATAATTGAACCTAGATTAGCGACCAACCGGAAGGCTTTCATTTAGTAGAACAACAGGGACAAAGTAGTAAGATCAATGGTGGTTAACAGTAATGAATTCCGTCTTCTCATGTGAGTAGAGTTCTTTAGATTTATCCCTTGATTTGAGGATTATTTCTGGGTACTCCATAAACATCATAAATTTCAATTCAAACTGTGAGTTAGCCATGCCCTAACTTTGATCAGTCCAGAAGTTTTTTCAGATTATCAATAAAACGTAATATTTACAATGTTGACTTGGATGAAATATTTCCTGAAGGGATGATTTTCTTGCCAGAAGAAACTCAGAAAACACTTGTCTAGGTGAACTTTCCTCAAGCAGTAGAATTGAACAAAGAGCTTCGGCAGTCATCTGTTGAAAAAAGGGAAAAATACTACAATTAAATGGGAAATTGTTCCATAAAGAAATGGGCACAATGAAACTGTCATTCCCATAGCTTTTGAATAGCATAGCAATCCATTAAAAAGGTTTTAATAGTTTTTCAAAAATATGCCTTACAATATTTACCTCGTCTGTTTGCGTAGCATCTTTAAGAAGAGCTCGACTTCCCTAGAATATACGAATATATAAAATAGTCATGACATATATTATTGTTACTTGACCCATAACAGTATTAGATGATGATAATGATACAATAAATATTTTATTTAGCATAACACCAAAAATGCTAACCTGGATAATAGAGTCTTTGAAGTGACTTATAGCTGCCCATTGTCTTTGAAGTATTGGAAATGATGACTAAAGAGAAAAACAGAAAGAAAAATGAAATTAATTAGCATTATACTACCGTCAATGAATACTCCCATTTCAAGTTCCCCTTTGCTCAGTCTTAGCCTGGATTGTGTACAAATGTGTTCCTTTCTTTTATTAAGCTCCATCTTATAGTAAGGAATGTACAAACTACGGAACAATACAAGTTGATTAAAATGCCACAGGTTTTGGTTGAATAGCTGAATATTTTAAAGCACAACCGAGACTATGGCTGAGCAAAGAGAATTCAAAACTGGAGTATTATTAAATCAGAAAATAAATGAATCAAATTAAAGGTGTAGCTTAGATGGTTAGTGTGTGGCCTTCAGAGCTAGAGGTCCACGGTCTAAAATGGGAAAACATTATATCTGAGGTAAAAGGTCTATTAATACTTTTGTCTCAATGTGTAGCAATAACAAAATAGTAACATATAACTCACTAAAACTCTTGGTGCAGCACCACTTCCAGAGTTCAGGTGCAGAATGCTTACAATGTGATGCGACAGAAGATACAACTGTGTTGCTTTCAGATACTGTTGTCTCTCAAGTGCACTCCAAATCTGGGAAACAAATTAACACAATACATCATACAATACACAATACTACAATAATATAAGTGAAAAAAGTAAAGGTAATCATAATTATATTACTATACTAACTATTTACATAAATTTGATAATAAAAAAATAAAAACCCGCCTTACTCTCTCCCTCCTCTAAAAATTAAATAAGACTACATCTGTTTATAACAGTGTTTTCAAAGTGCTCAGTGCATATCTTAGGAAGTGTGTAGTTGTGGCCTTGATGCTGTAGACCCTCCCGCCATCTCTGTTGGGGTAGAAGATTGTATAAAGCATGCTCATATTGCAATGTTGTCATAAAATATTTACCTTCTCTGGTGTATCAACTAGAAGTTTCATCTGAGCAGCAAGAGAATAGAAACCATTCTTGGAGTGAGGTGATCTGAACATAAATTCTCTTATTTATTTATTGAATTATATACAGATTTGCCAGAGTAGTGTGTAAGTAACAAGCAAGATGGCATAGCATGGCATGGGTGGCGTAGTGGTTTACCTTTCACCAGGGCTTAAATAACTGCCAGACATTGGACAATGTCCCCCCAGAATTGGAACCTGTCTGGTCAAATCTTTGCTTTTCCAGTCATTTTGACCAGTAACATTGAGCCAGAAACGAGGTATGACTGAGATAAAACTTGGCCCCTCGTCATGACCTGGACTTACTGGCCATTATTTTAAGCCCTGCTCACCTCTGTGGTCCAGGTTCAAACCAATGTGAGTTGAGTGTGGTACGTTGTAATTGTAGAATGTAGTGGTAATGTGTGTGGAGCCAAGCTCACAAAAGAGCCCCATACATGGAGTGATGCTTGTAAAATATGTTTTTTATTATATAAAGAAAATAAATTTTTTTTTCAAATACAATTGTTTACCCTGATGTTGGTTTGACAGAAGGGCTTCCTCCCACTCCATAGCATCTATGTGACTGATGTAGCTCTTTACACTGTTTCTGAATGTCTCCGACCGATGTTGTGATCTATCAAAAAAAAACCAATACAGTACATCCCAGAAGTTTGTCATGGTGTCTGAGCGTATAATTTGGATGGAGTGCATTAATTCATTACACACATACACACATCTATGTGTAAAAGCATGTGTTAACCATGTTTTGAGACAATGATGCACAACACTTGTTTGAGCATAATTTTCTTTTTTTTTTGAAATTCCAATCTTCTTCCATACAAACTCTGTAATTTTTGTTCGTTCAATGACCCCCCTACTCTTCAGAAATTCCAAATTCCTCTGTGGAGTGGGTATGGATAATTTCTGGAACTAAACAATTCATAGATGCTAACCTTTTTAGTATAATCTTTCATTTCAGTTATTGTATCTGCTGCATCAATCAGGTCTCTGTACCTCTCCCTGAGGAAAACATTATGGAAAGACAGTTCATCATGTGCAAAGTAAGCTTTTTTGTTGTTGTTGTTGTTTATGTTATTTATGAAGATCTATATTTTTATTTTTATATTTTTTATTACTTATACATATGACGTAATTAGATGTAACATTCATATGATGTCATAGAAATAAAAATATAAGCAAATATAGGCAGAAAAATATAAATAAATAAAAGTTAAGCTTGGTACTGTAAGTATACGTGGAAAGCTTACCCGACCATAAGACGTAGTTCCTCTTTCTTCTTCTCTATGTCTCCCCTTTGAAGAACAACAGTCATTAAAATATAATACTTCTTCTCTTGAACGAAAGCTCGATTAGAAAGAATAAGACTAACCTTGTTTTTTTTTCTAAAGCTCGAATTTCCTCGATAGAATGCTCGACAAAGAGAGTATTAACATCGATCTCAGCATCCCAAGAAACTAAAAATATATGAATAAAATTAAACGCCCTGAAAGCGTTAAAGACATACAAATAATTCCAGGGTAAAGTGAAGTCATTAGCAGTAGATCTTAAATCAGTTATTACTTGATTGAGAAGATTTTGAGCTGTCTTGACGTGGCGAAGAAGAAGAGCTTGTAGGACTTCGTGGACTTCGAGGAGACGCCATCTTGGATTGGCAGCGGTAATCCTCACGGGCTCAATACTTAACACCGGTAGTTACCACAGGTAGCCCAAGCTTGGTTTCTGTGGTGTCATTATAAGGAAATGTATGGGGATTCATCAAAAATATGAATAAAAGCCTCGAAATTTTACACGATCATTGAAAATAGCACTTCTTTCGCTCTGCGTGGTTATTTTTCGAATTTAGCCCGTTTTAAGATTTTTTCCCAACTAAATTCAAAAAATAACCACGCGGAAAGAAAGAAGTGCTATTTCTCAATGATCGGGTAARATTACGAGGCTTTATTTCACGTTTCAAGGATTTTATTCATATTTTTGATGAATCCCCATACATTTTCTTATAACATGACACCACAGAAACCAAGCTTGGGCTACCTGTGGTTGTCCATGTACATGTATGACAGCGGTATGACTTGCGCGGGCTCAATATTGATGACGTAAATCAAGGAAAGATTGCGATGGACATTGCGATGATGAAGTTGTTTCATACTGTTCGTTTTGAAACGTGAAAAAAATACTAAATTTCTGATGTGACTGAAACGAAATCGTACGATGGGCTGGCTACGCGATTATTTTAAATCATTCTTTGATATTCCTCAAAAGCCGTTGAATCCAAACGAACTCCCAAGGTACGAAAAATTTCATCTGAATGTTTTACAAGATTATGTGGAGTATATATCATCACAGTAGCTAGAAAATAAGCCAAATTATTCGTCATAATGTTATCCAATAAATTTATCCAGTGGATAAAATTATTGGATAACAGCATCGACTTATCCACTGGATAAGGATTTATCCGCCGGATAGCGCCATCCAGGCTTCGTACAACCATTAGCTTTACCTCTTTTTTGCCACTTGAATATCGTCTTGTTGTCCTTTGGGACCTGTATAAGACGTAAATTGTGACCAATGAGCGTGCCTGATTTATTATATTCGCTTGTGTAAAAATGCTAATCTGTTAATGTATTTCTGCACAGAGAAATCCAGGAAGATTTCTACCGACAGTTTGGCCATAATTTTGAATCAAGACAATGGCCAGAGCCTCATATCTATGAACAATTTGATGACTTTGATGAGCAAAGACATAATGATATCGTAGTGATAGAAGGAGGAGATATGTTTAGGGAAATGGAGAGCATGTTTGAGAACTTCTTTAAAGGATTCCCACTCAATTTTAATCCTCAAGACAGATGTAAGTATTGTTAGTACAGTTTGCATTATTTGTAGGTTTTTACTTTTCCAGCATTACTCCTAGTGAGGGGCCCACTCCTATCAATTAAATTGAGCACAATAGAGGTTAGGCACCATCACATGACAGAAGTTAGATGTTAAATGTTAGATGGCAGAAACAATACAATAGTCCCCTTCRCAGTTCCCTGCGCCATCTTGAAAGGTGGCCGTGCCTTTGCATCAAAGCGAGACAAACGGTGACCTTGCAATGATAGAGATGTGTGAATAATTGTCCAAGATGTTAAAAAAAGGTCTCTATCATTACAAGCTCACAATTCATCTTGCTTTGATGCAAAGGCACAGGTACCTTTCAAGATGGCGCTCGGAACTGTGAAGGGGACTATTGTTTAACACGAGAAAGAATTCAATTCCCAAGAGGAAAGTGATTTTATTGTAATTCCTCCCAGGCAGCCCAAGCAGTATTATGGGTGCCAGCACTTTATAAACCAATAAGAAAGCAAGCTTTCATCCTTTATGATGTACATGTATTGCTTACAAATATTTTTATTGACATTGTTCTTATATAGCAATCTTTGACCCAAGACTTGGGATCGAATCACCTTCAGATGATCCAAGTCAACAGGATCAGGAAGAACCAGGATCATTGAAAGACAAGATGCTTAAACATCCAGATACAGAAAACTACCAGGTTGGACTAATAATTTGAGGAAATGTTATGCTTTAAGCTGATTGGTTGGTGACTATCAAATTATATTTTAATGCATGATCACCCAGATCAGCTGATTGTTTAATTAATATTATATATCAATTTATTCTATTTTTACTTTGAAATAAGGAATTCAGTTATAATGACGAAGGACATGATGCTCCTGGTATTGGGCCTCACTCATGGGTATGTTGCATCACTACCTCTTTATATTCATAACAGATAGTCCTGTGCCTTAGTATTTTATCTCATGACACAATTTTTGTGTAAAAAACCTAAAAAATCCTGCTAAATTTATAAATACAGCAATCATAAACCGAGGAGAGCTGGACGGGTTTTTACGGCACGCTTAAGTCAAACTGCCAGGCCCTCATCAAGTGACTTTTTTTACAGGTCATATGATACAGTAAATGGAATTATGTCTGATTTCAAGAATTGATAAACTTGTACTATCAAATTCAAAATTGTTTCCAAATATTGCAGTTTGGAGAACTTTGGACGTCACCTTTTAGACACATGACTCATCCAGATGAAAAATTAGACAAAGGCAAGTGTAGTAATTGTTTTTATTTCTGTATAACTTGCTTATTTAAAAATAATAATTGATAAAATTGAAACACAAAAAACAATATTTTCCAACAAAATTTAGGGTATTTCTTTTGTATTTTCAAGTTTGGTAAGTCTCCCTGCCATTACCTTCATAACTGAAAGGAATCCATTTTACTATTAAAGTTAATCACTTTTCTTGGGCTCCCTGTGACATATGATGAAATAGGAAAATTGAGGAATGAGAATGGATAATTATTCCCAGTTTCCCACTTTGTAATTTTTCCAAAGGAAGCCCAACATTTGGATATTTTCTATTTGTGAATATTGTTCGATTGTTCAAACAATAATGTGCCATTTTTATTATAGATCTGGACAGTGAATTAGAAAGTGGAATTCAAAGCTTAGATGAAATTTTGTCTCAAAAAGGAAATGATCCTTCAGAATCACTGAAATCTATGAGGCCTTGGTCATCATCATCGTCTTCATCCTTTTTGCAAGTCACTACAATAGACTCTCAAGGGGTAAGAGGTTTGGCTCATATACATGATTAGAGGTCTTCATTTCCTTATATTAGGGCAGGTTGGTTGGTGCTTTCATGCCGAGTGTCATGAAAGAATAGAGGGTGAGAAATGTGAATGTTATCAAATCCTGAAACAACCTCTGGGCTAATCATAGTCAGGGCATGACTAATTCACAGGATTGGGAATTAGCTGGTTCGGTTTTTAAGGAGGGATAAAAACTAGAAAACCTGGTGAAAATCCCTTGATTCAAGGGAGGAATCCAACAATCTTTAGTCAAACACAATGCCAAATTTAGGAATCCAATCTGAGTCCCCAAAGGGGATCAGCAGGTGCATTACTGCTACAATGATGAGCCATACAAGCTAGGAATGTCATTTTGTGAAACATGTTAGTGATGACATCCCTCGAGCATTCTGTTTGTAAAAAAAGTAACATTTACAGTGATGTACATGTATTGGTCTACTTATTTACAAAAAAATTGTATCAACAGCGTACTGAAAGTAGGACAACAAGACGAGACTCAAGTGGCAGAGAAGAGGTGAATTTGATGATAAGGGACAGTTAATTAATTATTAGAGGCAAGAGGGCTGGTTCACATGGGGGGGGGGGGGGGGAGTTTGGTGGGGTCATTTTTCATTCAAACTTTAACAAACAAAATTTTGTACCAAAAATAGTATTGAAAACAACAAGAATTTTTCTGCAGTAGGGAAAGGGAGGGCCTCTTAAAAATATGCAGATCAAAATTAAAATAATGCAGACCACTACCCCCCACCCCCCACCCCCCATAGTTAATTACTGGCCCCTAAGACATCTGTAGTTCTAGAAAAATATTGATTATCTTCACTTTTATTTGGGTGAAGTTTTATATGAGACGTCTCTATTCCCAGGTTCTTTTACAAAAAAAATAATGAAACTTCATAACTTCTAGGCCTTTCTTCTTGCCTTTATTTTATTGCTGGGATCCCTGTGTTAATCAAATTGTTGCGACCACAGGTAGCCCAACACAGGTTCCTTAGTGAAGTGGGATATATTTCTTCAGATTTTACTTTGACTGAAATGTTGTTCATAGGTGACAGTAACTAGAAAAATTGGTGACCAGGAACACACAGTAAAGCACTGGAAAAATGAAGATGGCTTAGAATCTTCAGAAGAAAAGACAGTCAACATTGATCAAGGTAGAAATGAACAAATAATTTGTCCTAAAAATCAACATTTGAGTAAAGTATCATAGGTCATAAACAAATGTATAAAATGTAGTGGTAGTGTTGTTTGTCTTAGAATACAGGACTGGAAAAAAATAAAATAAGAGGCAATGATATGAGTTTTCTTTCTTTGTTATACAGATGATGTCTCAGAATTTAATCAGAAATGGAGTCAGTCAAACGAGGGTGAGTTTTTATGAGTTTGTGAACCCATTTATCTTGGAAATGTATTAGAAATCCTGCTTTCCAATTGACTACACTACTATAGGTCAATGGTGCTTGCTTTTCGTTTTCTTTTGGTGAAAATTTGGAGACATTACTTATGTTGTATCGACTAGTTGGTTCGTACTAAAACGATAATTTTGAGCTCCCACCCCCTTCCCCCCTTC